AAATGGGAAGAGGAGAGAGAGAGAGAGGGTGGAGAAGAGAAGTGGGGAGAAAGACTGTGGATGAGGACCTGAAGAACCCATCTGTTGGTAGAGAACTGTAAACAAAGGGCAGTGAACCAAGTCAGACGGGTGCCCACTGGGCCTGATCTGACAGGATAGTTTCTGATGAGACATGCAACGAACCTGGCAGTGGGTAGTGGGAGGATGGGATGCAGAGGAAGGTTTTAAATGTGAAGGTTAGGGGCAGGCTGACCCAGTCAAAGAACAGGAGTTGAAGGGCAACGTTGTGAAAGGTGATAAAACAGAGAAGATAAAGAGAACTGGTGCTAAGCTACCTTAATCCAAGTCTCCAGTGTATTGGGAACACTACCTAAGATATCAAGTTGAAGAAAGAGAGCCTGATGGAGATCGTGCACATAAAAAGTAAGAGCATGATGAAGTGCCTCAGACATAAGGTGTAGAGAGGAGAGGTAGCATAGGAAAGTGGTAAGAAAATTAAGAAGACGTGACAACTAGAGGGAGGAATAAAAGACAAAGGGTCCACTCCCAAAGCAAGTAATATACTGAGAATATAGAATGGGAAAGGTAAAATGGCTGTAAACTAAGACATGAGAATCAAGGTGGTGGAGAGGACAAGGCATGTGGGTACAGTTGTGAAACTGTTCAAGAAAGGAATCAGCATGAACCTGAATGTCAGGCAAGTGAGGAAATACTAAATAATCCCATGGAACAAAGATCAAGAAGAATCATAAGACACAGGTAAAAGAGAAAGAAAGAAAGGAAAATACTTGAGAAATAAAGTCTTGAAACTGTGGAATATTAAGAATTTTCCTTCACCAGTAGGGAGGTACCCAAAACAAATTAAGATGGAGGTAATAGCCAATCCAATTTGTCTTCCTCTTAGTCAACCTCAAATGAGGGGATGGGACACTGGCCAAATGGATGGAAATAGAAGACCCAGCATGCATGAAGGATTCCACATGGTGTATAATGGCAGTAGCAAACTAATTAGTCAATAAGGTTCCCAAAGCCACTGTAAACATAGTGCCTATGTGTGCAACATTGTCACTCATACAGGACAAAGTTGAAGTCTCCTTACTTGAAATTAAAGCTTTTGGAACAAAAATCAAAGTTTCTTTAACAAATGCAATTTGAACATTTGGAAAAAAATACCACTACAATTAAGTCTTAGTTACCTGTAAAGTGTTATTAATACTGCTGAGGTGCTATGGACTGAACTTGTGAACACAAAATTAAACCTTTTTTGTTGTTGTGGTTTGAGGATACACCTTCACAGTAATACTAATAAAGTTCACATAAAGCATTTCCAGAGACTTATATGTATGTATATATATAAATGATTTTGAGTTATACGATAGACTTATAAGGGATAAAACTTAGCTAACCAAAGTAGCCACTATTAAACTAATTGGACTTCCATTTACCTCAAGCAAATGCATGCCTAATGATGTTTAATAAGAATTATCACACAGGTTTAAACCAAGTTTAAAAAACCTATTTAAGAAGGTATAATCAGCACCAAGAAACAGTTGTGAGAAAGCTATAAAGTATGTTGTAGAATTGTGAGTTTTAATGTAAACTACCTATGGGAGATTGTACCTATATCACTATGATGCTGTAAATTGATGAGGCAAACAATTACCTACAAATGTGATTATTTTTAGATAACTCTTAACCAAATTTGTTTATTGCTGGCAAGCCAAATTCAAACCTTGTGGACCTAACTCATAAATTGCAAATACAAGTTTTTTAAACACACAGACATGTAGTAAGTGTGTGTTACCAACAGCAGGAGCTGCTTAGACAAATAATGGAATCATTAACATGACATGGTCAATCATTCAAATTATTTCCATAAAACTGAAAAAACCTTGATGCTAACAAGATATTATCTTTTTTCTTCTTCTAAAATTATTAATGTACAGAAAAAAAATATACATACCTTGATTCCTGGGGAGGTTTCACAATATCTGGAATGACAGTAACATCTGAATAGTCTATCCTAAACTTGCTGAGGAGAGCTGCCATGCTAAAAACAATGATTTAATGTCAGCATAATGTATGCCATGGTACAATTAAAGATTAATTGATATTTAAAATAAGTAAGAATTCTACTAAAATTCCACACAACATATTAAAAACTTGTATCCATAGTGATCTTCAAAAAATATCAAAAATGTTTATGATTATGAAATATTTCACAGTTGTCAATCTAATGTATCTTTGACGATATTTTTATTTGGTTATAACAAAAAAAGTCTTTCAATTATTTCAATTGCCTGTAAACATAATCTACAAACCAAGTCAAGAGGAAAGGTAGTTTCAAGACTTGAAAGCTGGAAAACTCAGCAATAAACCTAGTATCATAAGGGAAGAAAAATGGTTACTTAATATCTTACTTTCTTTGTTCCCTGTCCAGCTCATCCTTCTTATTTGCCAAGGAGAAAACACGCAACTTACAACCACTCCATTGTGCCCTTGTAGTAAGTAGATAGGGGATAAGCATTGTTAAACCTAAAAATAAAGAACTATTGATAAAACAACTTAAAACATTCTTTTAATTTCTCTCCAGTAATCGAAATAATAAAAACATTATTTAACTTATAGGATATGTATTATATGTTATATTTCAGTACTAAAACCTTTTTTATTTAATTGTTAGGCTTGACATGATTGTGATAACAGTCATTAGAATGATAAAAAATAAATGTGCATTTCTGAAGATGTTAATACACAAAAATTAAAGAGAATTAATTATTACTGCCATTATAACAAAACAGACTTATACAAGAGACCCATGTCCGGTCACAATAAAATCATTAAATTGTTATGTTGAAGGAATTTTAACATACTATCTGAAGTTAAATTGGACACCTACCACCATCATCATACAACCACCACACATCTATGGTGGCCTTCTTCTGCTTTCTTTGGAACTGATTAACACTGGACAGAACATCTTTAGGTATATCTTTTGAGAGGCCTTTCATCACTTGCGTGCTGCTGGGTGCTGGTGTTGATGCCACCTCACCTTCTGGATTCTTTGAAATAGAGGTCTGAAGCATGGAACGAGTGGCAGCTGGCGTAGCTGGAGGGGTTGACTCTGGCGAACTTCCACCTAATAACAAAGTTTATTTGTAGATTCTAATTAAGTGGTGAAGATTCATATATTCCGAAATTTTCTTTTTCTAGTTTAAATAACCTCTATTAATTACATGAATAAGACATTATAAAAGATAGAAATGCTGTGCAACATTGTAGATGTGACATAAAATTTAATTATCCACAATAGAATTTATTTTCAGAGTAAGACAGAACAATATACTACAGTAAAATCCAATATGGACACAAACATGTTCATTATTGTGTTCTAGAACACAATGTTTTCATTAAGTTCATTACGCTGCACATGTTGAATTAGTTTTTTTCTATATAAAAAAACAAGTTTTTAACTCCTTCATTTGATGCAAAGCAATGCTATACCTTGTATGCAAATAAACTGAAGAACATAAAGACTCTTGTTTATGGTTTTACTATCTGAACTATGAAAAAAACCAATAAATTAGTCATAATCAGTAAATCAAGAGTTGATAAGCAGTTTTGTTCAATAATATGATTAAATTTGATCTGCTTCAGTACACTCAAAAATATCTATTCTGAGAGAAACTTATAAATGCTAACCTAGGATTGAGTTGAGCAAGAATTACCAAACCACCAAAGAAACAATGCTTAAGGTCTGAAATGTAGAACAGTAGTTAACCTGCAAATATTTTGCCAGATTGCATGTATGGCATTTAAGGAGCTTTCATGTTGAGGTACAAAACAAATTGCTACTTTATTTGTCTAAGCCTTACTAATTTGGAGATATATAAGCCTAAATGATATCATTATTGTCTATCAAATTCAACCAACCAGAAATTCATTGAATATTAGTTCCAAAGACATACGTCCTTTATACATTAGAAAAGAAAATTACTTAAAGTAGCACATTAGTCAAGAAATGACTGACCAAAAGGAAAAGTTTGTGTGTTTAGATTAATATAAGTTTCAAATGATCTAAGTAGTCTGAAATTAAAGGGAACTAATAACGATTCTTAGATGTTATTTTAAGGAGAAAAACAAAGCCATTTTGTAACATTTCTTCTGTGACACTAGTAGCTTGCGGGATATTGACATATAGCAAATAAATCTGAAATGGATATTGTAAAATTGTATATTGACCTGAGAATTTTATTCTCTTCAAGAGATTTTGTCAACAAAAAGAGCATCTCTGGTGGACATGTTTCTATGTAAAAAATGGGACTAACATCAAAGAGAAAAGATTATTATAATTATCATTACTAATACAGACACTTCTTCATACAAACTATTTGTAATATTTTGCAATCCACAGTGATCTGGTGAAGAGATGGACATTGAACCAAAGGTAGAAGTAGTAACTGAATGATATAAGTTACATACAGGGATTACGATTCTAAATGGAGTTTGAAATTAAGTGCCATTTGTTAATTCAAAGTACAGTTATATATGATGTTGTATGTGATAAAGATTATCATAGCTGGCTGAAAGAAGCAAAATTTTAAGTATAATTTCCAATCTGACACATAAATGTGAAAACTGACAGTAGAGTAATACATTAACCATTCAAAATCCACAGTTAGTCTAACATTATGGCTGAAGATACTCTGTTCCAGACACGTGTAGTTCTAATATGTGGAGGTAGTACACATCAGTTATTTATTAAACCAGTTAATGAAAAACATCTGAAATTATTATATTGAAGATGATTTTCATCCAATAATTTAAACTAGCTTAGTGTATTTCAAGTGAAAATATATTAACTTTATTGGAGAGGAAAAAATTTTCCATAAAAGTTATGGTTATACCAATAAGAGAATTTTAGGGCAATATTAAACTGAAAAAAGAGTATATGTGCAATAAGTACATAACATCAAAACCAAAACATTTGTGATAAAGTGGATGCTGAACACTGACATATGAAGGGAAAGAAAAATAAGAAACTTCTTTTGTTAACCAGGACTGGAAGTTGATAAAGAAATAAGAATATATGTGCAATAAGTATATAACATCAAAACCAAAACATTTGTGATAAAGTGGATGCTGAACACTGACATATGAAAGAAAAGAAAAATAAGAAACTTGTTTTGTTAACCAGGACTGGAAGTTGATAACGAAATAAGACAGTGAATGTTCTGCTTGTGAATTAGTGTAAAATTACCATCACCGAACTTTCACAGCATCAACTATGATTACAGTTTTCAGATTTCCAAAGTGAAAAACTGGGACATTTTTTTTCTATATGGTGTGACACTGTGGCATTTTTGAAATAGTTTAAATTACAATAACAAACTTTTTATCATATGCTATATAATATGATATTTATTGCATTGTGTTTTAATCCACAAAAAAAAAATGTTAAAAGCTTATCCAGTTAAAATATAAGTAAAATTAAAAAAGGACTTTAGTTGTTCTGAGCCTACTCAACAGACAAATGTTGTTTCATAGCTTTTCTTTTTCATGGCTTCACAGGTTTTCAAATCTCAATTCCTATGGCTGCCTAATAACAGGTTAATTAAATATAGCAGAGAGAAGGAAACACTACAACGTGTGATCTGTCTTTGTCAGATGATTCAAGTAAAATTTAAAGGAGCCAAGCATAATGGCAAACCATACATATCAAACTCATATTAAGGTACAGAGAAACTGGGATGATCCCAGTTTTTCTCAGATGTCTGTTAACCCTAACTATGATTCACATGTGTATGTGTTACAAATAATTTTCACAGGTTATAATAAATAACTAATATTGAGTGATGGACACTGAAAATAAGATTGAGATTATTGATGCATATACAACAACCACTAGTAGGACAATGATTATGATTTCGAGATAGCTTGCATCATATGATCTAAAAAAATATTTAATATAAGTTAATATTTTACTCACATGGCTTAAACAACCCATCTGCATATTATAATTTGTGTTCATGATCATGCTTAAATCCAGTATAAAGCCTATGTAATTTGGAAAACCTGCAAAGTCTAGTTTTATTAGTTCTACTTTAAATTATTAAACACAAACAATATATATATTCGTTATAAAGAACATTTCAGTTTACTTTCAATGTGAAGCATTTAATTGTAGGATATATGAACACTGTAGCAGTAACAAGCAGGTCACAAGTTAAACAGCAAAGTAGCATTGGAATACTGTCAAATAAATCACAAGCTAGGCAGCCAAGTACCATTAATCTAGTGACAAGCAAGTAACAAGCTAAGCAGCCAAGTACCACTGGACTAATCACAAGCTAAGCAGCCAAGTGCCATTAGTCTAGTGACAAGTAAGTCACAAGCTAGGCAGCTAAGTACCACTGGACTAGTGACAAGTGATAAGTAGTACTTGACTATTTACAAATGAAACAAAAGCTAGAAAGCCAAGTAGCACCAGACTAGTGACAAACACATCACAAGCTATGCATTCATGTTGCAATAGACTAGTTGCAAGTAAATCACAAATCAGGCAGCCATATAGTGCTGGACAACTGAGAAGTGATATGTAAATAATACTGTAGATGCTATTCTGATTAGGAGGAGTTATAATAAAAGCTTATTACATGAAAGTAGTAGAAAAAAAATATAAACATACAGCTCCTATTTTAAAAGATCTACAGTTTTATATACTGGTTTTTGTGTAGGTTGTTCACCAAATATTTCACTTAGTTAAAAACCTGAATGCCTATGGATTCCATTACATAAAATCTAAATTTAATGATAATTTATCCAACCTTAACTTTATAGTACCAACTCTTATAACATGTACATATATCTCTTGCAAAATATGTAGGTTATTTTCAGATACAGAATTCATCAATATTCTGCGTGAAAACTCAGTCGATTAGTGAATGATTTAATCTCTACATAACCAGTCTACATTATCACCAAATTCAATTTTGCTTAATAACACATGCCACATTGAAAATGACAAGTACTTAATGAAGTTAATTACAGAAAGCAGTAAAAAAACTTATATGAAGATAGTACATGCAACACACCTTATAATAACATGACTAATGCTGAAGAACAAAAAACTAAGACTTATGAAGTTCTCAAAAAATTACAAGATTGTGGTTAGAAAACCAAGTCTCTGTATAACTATTACCTAAGATTTATAGACTCACACATATAATCTACAGTTTAGATTATATACTAAGTATATATAAGTAAATTCTTATAGCTTTTGTTAAAACGAAGAATTATCCAAAATGCTAAAATATTAATGTCTCATGGTAACTAATGGGCTTAGTTTTGTAAGTAGCTTACAATTACATTCTAATTAATTGTAAAAAAACAACAGATTTTTCTTAAATTTTATAATTTCTAACATCTTTATTTTATTTAAACATAAGTTACTGCAAGTTGCAAAATTGTATTGACAAAAGTTTAATGATTAATTATAGAAATAACCAAGCACTACAGAAGTTTAGAAGCATGAGCCAATTCTCCAAAACTTGGCTTAATACCTTATGTTATATGTTCAGCAATTGACAAACAATAACAATCAACAAACCTATAGCAATAAGAAAATCAAATAAACTGATAAGAAAAAGAAATTTTAAGGCCATTGTAAGAATTATTAATTTGATTATAACAACAGAAGTACTCTTCTTTCCATAAATGAAATGATATATTTAAAAACCATGTAATAAACATTTTGAATAATAAGAATGAACAAAAGTAAAAGAGGGGTTAGTTAGCTTCACCAATAATACCAAGTTAATATCCTCCTTCTAAGGTTCCCAGCTGGAAACTGTTTGGAAGCCTTTTGATTTCAGGTGGCTTAAAAATGGAATCTTATTCCAAGTTGAAAATTAAAGGTACACCCTGTTGCATTAATTAGGTGTAAATAAGCTGTGTAATTATTTGCAAAAAATATTCTCCCTTATAACCACTTTGGCAGTGTACTTCTTAGGATAAAACACTACTTTTTAAATGGTAATTAATTTGATATCAATAAATGACTGCAAAAATGAAACTATGACGTCTTCCAGAAATGTGCTTCTCCAACAATCATAGCAATTTCTGAATACCACATAAACATAACTCTAACTCTAAAATATATATATATATTCCACCAGATACAGCCCAAATGAAAAACTTTTAAGTATAACTCAAAGCTAACCCAAGTCAAAGCCAAATGGCATATATCTGTACAGCTAACCTCACAGTTGGAAGCTAAATGGTAAATATTGCATCAGATTAAACTAGCAAGGATTTTTCCAAATGAATTTAATCTAAAAGCCAATCAGTGAAATTAGAAGTTTCTCTAGGAATGGTACAATTTGTATTTTCGCTATAAGTAAAAGCTGGTGAAAAAAAAAATTGCACATTATTAGAATATTAATCAATGTTGATGAATTGTGTTTCCTTGGGCAATTTTAATTCTGACAAAGTTCAACTGTTATTGTGAATACCGAGTTCCTATCCAATTGCAGTCTTTACTCAATAAAAATACAAAAAGTACATTGAAGACCATGTAAGGGACTACTAATGAAGTTTTAACTGGTATATTCAGTTGTAAGAAAATTCTTATAGCTTTTGTTAAAACGAAGAATTATCCAAAATGCTAAAATATTAATGTCTCAATGCTTAATTGATTTACATCAAAATTTAAACTTTAAAACACAATAATGATTAATCCTAAAATATTTCACTGTTAAACAGATGAGATTACTGAGAAAACATACATTACAGAATCAAATGCAGAATGAGGTACGTATACAAGTTTGTGTTTAATACAGAGAATAAAAAAAAAAGGTTGTTCAGTCTTCAACAGTAACACTGCTATTTTCTTAAAGACAGTGTACAATATTTGAAGAATTAAATATATAGACATCTTTAAAGACAAAAAATAATTGAAATTTGAAAAACTGTAATATAATGGAAATATACTTTGCTACAAGGGTATACTTATGTGCACAAGGTGAAGGGTGAAGGATACGCAACCCTCTAAAAACAAACAAAAAAAAACTGAATCCAACGTGCACATAAAATAGTGAATATATAAAGATTAACAATTTCACACACAAATACTCACCTTGGAAGAGTACACAGGATATATATCATGTTACAAGTCACATGTACAGCTCTATTCCAAGTTAACAATAATAATAAAAGCACCAGAAAGGGGAGTCTCCATATGAAACTCTTAACCAATACTGTTACATACTGTCTATTCTCCTTTGAACCTGATGAAGATGTTTGTATAAACATCCTCCACTAGGATATATTCCAGCATTTAGTCTGTAGAAAACTGATCAACCTTGAAAGGTTAGATAAATAGAGAATAATTGTTAGAAAAAGAAGAGAGACACACACACACAAGCAGCTGCAGAGACTTACCCCCACCTGAGAAAGCTGCAAACAATGTCAGCCATGAAGCTGTAGGTTTCATTACTAGAATAAAACACCCAGACAAATATCACAAACTCAAGAGAAAAAAGACAGAGAGAAAAATACACATTAAAACAAATAGCTGTTTGAAAATTAGCTTTGCTGTAAAATAACCAATTTGTCAAAGCTATTTCAGATACAACTGTGTATGTGTATGTGTGTGTATATATATATATATATATATATATATATATATATATATATA